TCGTTGGCAAGGACATGCCTATAGCTATCCCTTTCTTTATATGCCAACGTGATGTCATGGACACTATTTTTGATGATGACCTCCTTTCCATATCAGTGACACAATTATGGATTATGTAAGTATTATTTGCAATGGTTCTTTTTTTAATATATTCAATTACTAATTCTTAACATTATATTTGTTTTCACAATTATAGGAATGTTTGTCATGTCTCTATGGATATGCAAAATGCTTTTTATTATGGTTTCATCAACTCAGTTACCATCTAATGTGTTAGGAACAAAGACACTAAGGTGAGGCAATATTTGATAGATCGGTTCAGGCTAGGAGGAAAAGAGGTGTACTTAGCACCTTATTTGCATATATAAGTACTTGTATTGTTTATTTTAAGTTTATAGTAGCTTAATGATTTCTAACAATATTAAAAAAATAAGTGCACATTGAAAGCTCCTTGTTATAATTTTGAAATAGTTTCTTGTAGTTCTTTTGTGTTCATTACACAAGAAAACTATAGAGTTGCCTGTTAGACACCTCATTAACTTGTAAATATAATCTTTGTTAGTTTTTTATTATTTCATGAAACAAATAACAATTTTATTCTTTAACTATTTTCAGACTCTCATTTATTTTCGTAGGTCTTTGCAACCAAGATTGATCTTGCAGGAGCTTCCTCCGGTAGCTTGGAAGAAGCTTCAATATATTACTCCTAAAGTAAGTCAACTTTCAACCAAATAGTAGTTAGAGTTCAATTAAAATATATTCTAACTATGATTACTTTATATGTTTTTATATTCACTAAATTATAGTGTCCACATCAATCTAGTAATCATGAGTGCGATTATTATGTGATGAAACACATATTCACCATCATTATCGACAACGGGGTTAGGGGAGAGGTAATACATTTTTAAATCAAATTAATCACTTTAAATGATTATGCAACTGTTTAATGATTGACTAACTAATTTTTATTTTTCATTAATTGTAGGTATTCAAAAATGCGTACAACTCCATTTTCCCATGAAGACATGAAAAATATCCACAAAAGATGGGCATTTTCTTTTCTTAAATTAATTTAAGGGTTGATTTATGTTTTTGTACATTGTTTTGGTTTTCTTTTTGTACATTGGCTAGTTTACTTTAGATTCTTTGTTATTTGATAACAATATTGGTACATTGTTATAATTATTGTCCATTGTTATTAATTAATGACAATTATTATTGTTAACTATAGTTTTATTTTTAACTCTCTTAGTTTTCTATGTAGTTTAATTCATATATTGTTTCAATTTAAATTATAGACATTGTATTTTATATAAGTTTGTATTGAGCTGAACAACAATATGTTGTTTTAAACTTCCTAGAATGTATTTATGTTGTGCAAGTTTCGAAAAATTCAAAAAAATGAATAAGATATTAAAAAAAAGTGCACAATTTATAACGAGTATGATCATATCCATCATTGAATGTGCAGCTTCTATGGTCGGTGTGACCATATCCATCATAGAATGTGCACATTGTATAATAGTAATGTCATACCTGTCATAGAAGATGTACATTCTACAATGTGTAAAGTCATACCCATCATAAAATATGGGTGTCAATATATTAAAACATCATATATTTCGTACCCTTACTATGATGGGTGTTGATCACTAAACATAAAAAGTAAACTTTCTATGTTATGTGTTGACTCACATAGAATGTGCGAACATTCTATATTGTTGGGATCTATATCACGTTCTAAATTGACGTAAAAAAATTCTAAAATAACTAACATAAAATATCTTGATCTCATTAGTAATAATTGATATGTATTATACTAAGAGTTAATCATTCATACACTGGCAGTGTAAAGTTTTTTACACTAGAAACCAATCATATCTTTTAAATTATTTTATTTTATTTTTTTCATTAAATAAGCAACTGACATGACACTATTAAAAGATATGATTGGTTGCTAGTGTAAAAAAACTTTACACTAGTAGTGTATAGGTGATTAACTCTTATACTAATATATATTTTTCATTAAATATGTTGACACTTAGAGTATCTCCAATGAGGATTGTTTATAAGCAACCCTTATGCCACATCACTGCCATATCAATTCTGACTCATTTTGTGGGTTGCTTAAATTTTAGCAGAGTTGCTTCTACAAGCAACTCTGCTAAAATTTAAGCAACTCACAAAGTGGGCCAGAGATGTGCTAAAATTTAAGCAACCCACAAAGTGGACCAGAGCTGTGTGGTAGTGATGTGGCACAAGGAGTTGCTTATAAGCAACCCCTATTGGAGATGCTCTTAAGTGTTCTAATTTAATAATAGGGACTAAAATTGTTGGCTAAATAAACGAGGGACTAAATGGAAAAAATATATATTAGAGACTAAAACCTAAAATCTAAAATAGTTATAAGATGAAAAACTTATTTAATCTTATATTTATTTATAGTTCTACCGAGACTTGTTACCCTCAAGCAAAATGTATTTCGTATTAACATTGCTTTACTTAGATTCATTTTAGTTGTTTTGTGTCATCTCGATTTATGTTGCTACTAGGCAATTATCGATCCAAAAGAAAAACAAAAGAAACAGAAAATAAAATGTAGAACAAACCATAACTTTAATATGTTTAGCTATTTAGTTTTGAGAGTGGATACCTAATTTATTGTTGTTTATGTTGTAATACTTTTCGTTTAGCATCATTTTCTTTTGTGAGTGTCATTAGACATCGGATAAAAACAAGTGTCATTAGACATTTTTAACGATCATTTGAATATATATATATATATATATATATATATATATATATATATAT